ATCTGGCGTCCCAAACGGCCTCCACTCCACGGCACCCGAAACGGCACCCCGAAACCGCATCGAGACAGACCCCTCGTCACCCCGGTTTTCGAGGCCCGAAAGGAGACCTCCCGAAAACTCTCCTGCCGTGGGGTCTGGCCCGCGAAACACGGCCAAATTTGACCACTTTTGGGCTTTCCTAACCCCCACACCCCCTTAGTACAGATCAGCAAAGCTGGACTTGGACGAAAGCTTGAGGAAGCTTTAGGAAGCTCTCGTGACAATTGCGACATTGTCGCTTGGACAACTTTCCTTTAGCTTACACTTACACGATTTCACGCGAGAGGTTGCAACATGTTTGAAGGCATCGGTTCGTTTCAAGTTTGCCAGACCATGGATCGCACACTCTAACGTTCAAATTCCCCTGCTGCTGCTCTCGTTTTCGAGAGCATGCAAGTTCCTTGCTTGGATCATGCTGCCGCATGTCGTACGTGCTGACCAGACCCCGAACACATTCTTGCTTCCTATCATCCAAGTTTAACACGGCAAAGGAAGATTCGACAATTTGCGCTGGCTGTTCCAAGCATGCTCAAACTTGTCATCATGTTCCCCGGCTGCACTGGCGCTGCCCAAACTCGTCGTGCAGGCCCCAAATATCTTCTTAAGTTCTTAGCATGCTGCACATTTGAGCATGGTTTCCCCTTGTTCATTTTCTTGCACCAGCAGGGAAAGCCTACGCCGTTTACGCGGAATCATCGTTCCCCTGCGGTAACCGTCAATCTATGCAGACTACGCGGGCACAATAACCTGCACATGAGCGACCGCCGAAACTCCTTGCATAATCTGATGCCATGGATGATTTGGGGAGGTCCTATCGCTTTTTGGGGTTTTGCGTCTGAGGTATCGCTTTACAGGCTCGACCAGCTGAACCTACATAAATTACCTCAAACCTTGCGCTCATGATTGGGGGGTATCGCTTTTGGGGGGGGTCCTATCGCTTTTGGGAGTTTTGGCGCAAATTTCTGAATCCTACGGCATTCCCTTTCATGGTCCCCTATATGCGAGTGTTGGGAATTGCTCACATAACTACGCGAGCCTACGCAAGACTACGCCCTGCAGGCCAGAGACTACGCGAGCATTATTCCAGATTTATTTCCATCACGGCTCTTGCAAGCTGTGTAGCGGAATAGCCACTTACTACTGTTGGGGCCTCTCAATCTACTGGTGAATTCGGAAAAGCTGCAGGCTGAGATCTCCACCGAGTCTTCGTACCGATGCCTCAGTCGGCTAAAGCAGAAACGATACAGTTGACGCAGGGATGCTTCACATGTCTCTTGGCATGCTACCTTTGACAATGCCTGTTCCCAACATAGCCACTAACCGCCACCAAAGTGAAACCAGCACTAAACAAACTATTTAATGCACGAGGCAATTGCCCCAAAACCGTGCAAAAACAATGCCTTCTACACCAACCCCCCAAGCATGTCTGCAGGATCATTGATAATGGCGGCTCAATGTGGACTGACACGCTCACAACAGGGAAAAGACTTCTCGGGCAGACTTGGACGCAGGCCACACTGCAGCTCATCGACGCAGAAGGGCTGTACAACGACTCGGCAGCCAAGCTGGGGAAAAGTGGCCTAGTCGGACATGTGCGAAAAGGCTGCTCCGCCAGGCTGCACTAGAAACCTTTGTACGACTAGGCAATCTTGCGTATCTTGTTGTGCATAATTATCATGCGGAACTTGGTGCTGAAAAGTCGCCTCCACCGACCACGGCTACTTCGGACAGGGATCTGGCAGCTGAATTTGATGTGGCTACGGACTGCTGTCATGGCGGAGAATTCACGGCTCAGTAGAACAAAAGGCTCACAGCTGCTCAGCCATTCCTTCTTTCTGTGTTTCCAGTGCTGCTACTGCTACTGCTACTGCCGATGTCTGGCCCAAACACAAAGGATCGCGACCTCGTCAAAGACCACTTGTTTCAAAGACCTGGCGGCATGTTGCTCTTGAGCCTTCTTTCGGGTGCACTTTGCGCTGGGACAACATGCCAGCATTTCTTATCAGACATCAACCTGGTCACCGAGAAGACTTCAGAGTCCATAGAGTCCACTCCCTGAGGTAGCAAGACGTCACAGAATTAGAGCTGCACTCGCCGCACGTTGGCAGTGGTACGATAAAAGATCAACACTGCCTGTTTCAGAACGGACTGCTTGGATACCGACCTGGTGCGTAAATGAATGCGCTTGACACTTGCAAGCAGCACACTTGTAAAGGTATGTCAAGCTGCCATCTTGCTGCCAAGAGTCCCATCATCTGACCAAAGCTTTCCGAGATAGTTGCCGGACATGGAGAGAGAGTCCTGCCAGCATCAGTCTTAAAGGTTTTCGACCCACCCGCACTTCCAAAGCCTCCTGGTCACGAGTGCCCCCGGAGGATCGAGCCGAGGACCTGCCAAACACAGAATCAATTTTCCATGCCAAGCCAAAGCTGCATGGAACAGCTGAAGACAAGGCCTGTGTGATTTGAAGGAAAGTCTGTTCAAGTCCGCTGACAGCACAACGCTGGAAGTCATAGAGGACAACTCGAATGCCTAGCAGGGAAGGTGTGGCTTGAATCTGAGCAGGTCTGAAACAATCCGTGCCCGTGTCACATGTCAAGCAAGCCTAGTACAACAATCGAGCATAATCCGTCGAGGCTGGAGGCCTGGGGCGTTTAGATCCGGGAGCCGGAGACTGGGAAAGTAACTTAACCCTCCCCCTATCCTCCCCCCCCAGTGGACATGATTTCGTGCGTGTGTCCAAGCGGTTTCTTTTTTTTCCGGGTTCTAGGGTCGGTCCGGCTGGTCTGCTGGGTACAGCGCAGGCTGACGGGGGTCTGAAATGCGGACTGCCCCTTGGCCAGGCCAAAAAGTGCTTGCTAGCACGCTCTCTCGCCTCGCCGACGGTCTCGCATTGGCGATTAAATTACCGCTTCGCGCGGTGCACGGAGATTCTCAACAGCAAAATTCATGTCTCTTCTGCACAGGCTGCGGTCGACTTGGCAGCAACGGAGTGGTGGAGAAAAACAGACAATTGGAGACCGCTGGCTTTGTCACTGCGAGAAGGACCCAAGTGAAAGATCCTCGGGATGTACAGGTACCGGTCGGTCAGTTTGATCAAGCACATGACTTGATGTCAACTCAAAAGCAGGGAGGCAGGAAACCCTGCACATCAAGACCGCGGTGGCCTGCAGCCCATCCTGGGGGGCGTTGGCATGATGAGGACCACCGCTGCTGGCATTCCTGGCGTCGAGCAAGATCAAACTGACGGCATCTTCGATCATTTTAGACGTCTGCTACTACACCAAATCGTCATTCAGCCTTAAGCATACAGTGATGCGTGCACGTGCCGGCACTATGCATCAACAAGGCTGTGCCCATGCCGTCACTGCAAACAGGGCCCCAAAGTTTCGGTCAGACTGCCACAATCGCACAAGAGATGTCTCCCGACCTCAACTGGGCTCCAACCCCATCCAGCATAACTGTTGGTGTCCATTCCGTGCTGTCAGAACAAATGCAAACGATCATCTCATCTTGCCTGTTGTTAATTGCCACTGCCTCCCCGTCAGACCTTGACACAAAATGAGGGGGAAGTCCTCTCAATGCCTTGCTCGCTCTTTGAGGGCTGGGGCAAAGCGCCGGCGGAAGAGCTGGAATCGGCTAGATAGACGGACATGTAGCATGCAACAAGAGGAGGTTGCCTCCTCAGACTATGATATCCCGTGTGCGTTTCATGCTGATACGATTTGCCAACGATTCACTGGCAAAACGGAGTTCCTGCCTCTTGCTCTTCAACTGGGTTTCCTGGTTCCCGAAGTGCATGGGCTCGCGTCACAGAAAATGTGCTCTCACTAAACCGGCCTAAGGAGGAGATACCTGCGCCGTACCGGCCCCTTGGCGAAAAAACTCAGGAACACCTGATGGAACGTAGCCTCAGGCACGTTCGTTGGCTTAAATCTATCGGCTTACGGGCGAGCACGTTTCAATCAGAGCCCACATCGAATGGGATTACGACGACAGCCCTCCACTACGAGCAGAGCTCTAGTATCTCAGTACCTGCAGACTGCGTGCAAGTGCCACGCACATGCGTGGATTGGTTGTGTCGCCTGCAATACCCAGACTGAAAGAGACGTACAAGCACTGGAGGCCTGCGGGTGTCCACGTGAGGCTCCACCTGTGCCAATCTTGGGAGAGGAGCTTGGCCACTTTACCAAAGAAAATGCGCCTGGCCAGTGGGTGAAGCTGTTCGGCTCGGGCTCACCTTCGATCTCTGCCGGCGCTCCCTCAGGAAATGCACCTTGCCAATACACTTTCTTCTTGTCACGGGGGACCATCATCACGCCATCGGAAGTGGTGTTGCAATTTGTGCGTTCCTTCAACGTGTCCTATTGTGGCTGCTGCCAGCGCGTGTCAGCTGTCCTGCTGATGTCAACATGAATCTGTCTTGTCTTGTAGGTTCTTGTCATTCTTGTCGTCGCAGTCGCTGTCCCAGTCGCTTCCGCTGTCGTTGGTCAGTGGTGTTCAGGATGAAGGTATGCTAGTATGATACTACTGTAATTTGGCATGTTTCTCGGTACCTAGCAGTTGCTGCTTTTTGCACGCGCAGTAGTCCTGTCGAATCGGGATTGGTGACTGCGAGATGCAGTTGAAGAATTGCGGCAACATCGAAACAAAGTCGAAAGTCGTTCGACTCAGATTGGGCAGGCTTCTCAGCCCGCCCTGGTTGAAGCATGATGTCCTTTCTCTGTCAGTTAGCCATTGTTGTTTGGGCGGTGTGCATCAAGGACGTTGTTACGATAGCCAGGGCCAGAGTCGTACCTCTGTTACCGGCAGGTTTCTGATGATTTCTGGTTGTGGTTGGGAGCCTTCACAGGATGCTGTGGCATGAATGCAGCTCCCGTCCTCATGCCAGCACACTCAGGCACCAGCGACTGTGCACAGTAAGAGAATGAGCAGCACCAAAATTGCTAGCAAGCCAGCAACAACCTGTCAGCGGCCACTAGGGGTTGAAGATCATTCCACAGAGTTCAAAGGAGTTTGCCCCGCACCTGTTGCCGCCTCTGATTCGCAGCGTGGAACACCTACAGTTACAACATGCGCTCAACAGAACCTCAAGTGCACTTCGGCCGTTCCATCCTCTTCCAACACGTATGCGAAGGTTGGTTATCCTTGAAAGTGATGAAGCTGAGAACAGCACCAGCCATGCAACTGCTCCTGAAATCAGGGACCTAAGATTGGCCACGGCAGCAACACTCCATCAACCTTGTCCAGCACAAATGGGAAACTGAGGTTCGTACCACTGAGTTGCCAGCAACATCAGGAGCTCATACTGGAACTGAGCCCCACCTCAACTCTATCTGAACGATGAGACCAGTTGCTTGTCAGAATGCAGTAATGCGCAAGAATAATCATGCAAGCGCGAGCTGGCCTTACGAACAGTTAACGAAGAATTTCAGGCAAGTGCACAAGATGCAGCATTTGGCTGCTACTGTAAGCTTGTCGCTCACTGGTGAATTGGCATGGCACTGCTCCAGGTCTTTGGACCACACATCCTGATCACTGATCACTCTCCCAAGCAGGTTGAACAGTGGAAGTTCCAAGCTGCCTTGCGACGACAAAGGGCACACTGCCTGATGCAAGCAGGGTCGAATGATGTCAAACGCCAACAGCAACAGCTCAAATGGAAAATGGATGAAACTGTCTCCCCCCTGTCTGCCTCGCAATGAAGACCACGCAGGCCACGCACCAAACACCAAGGCTCAGCACCTCAGAGGCCAGGCCTCAGCATTTCGAAGCACGAAACAACTCACAAATGAGAGTCCACTGAGTTGAAGAGGTATGAGCTCTCTTTTTGGGTTCCAGGGTTCCAGCTGTCCTCGTCTTCGAATGGCACATTCCAATATCCAGACAGGTCCAACACACACCTCCCAATCGCTGAGGAATGCCACTGAAGCTGCTGTCGCGGACACAAGCCTCCTGCTTAGCAATGCCGCCAAGACGCATGGCCGTCCAGCATGTTAGCGCCAATGAAGAAAGCAGCAGCTCTATCACCTTCTACGCAGCAAAAAGATCCCAAAGAAAGGCAATGCAAGATTGACTACAGCAGGAGCAGCGTGCCTCGGAGGCTTGGCATTGCCTCGCTTCAAATCCTAGACGGAAATGGAAGGTCACTGGTCTGGCAGCTGTTCGACAAAACCAGCCATCTTGGGATTTAAGTTGCAGCAGGGCCTGGGCTGGTGTCTAACCTGCTTTCTTTAACCTACTGCAAGAGTCCTGAAGAACCGACAGCCCACGCTTCCATTGTTACCTGTGCAGCTGGACATGCTGCCCGAGGCGGAGGTCTGACACCAACATCGGCTGCCGTGCCGGCCGCCGAGCAACAAGAACATGCCCCATGCAGGAGACATGACCATGCTGGCTGACGGCCTCATGCTTGATGTCTGTAGAAGCAGCCTCAACCTGGCACATTTGAAGCCCAACCCTGATGGATTCACAAAGAAAATTGAAGAGGAAACCGTGCCTCGCTGAGGAACGTCACAGCTGCCGCCGGGCTCCGCGGTTTTCCGATTTCAGGCGGGGGAGGCACGGAAAAATCCTGCAACTTTAGCACAACTGATGCACCTCCTTCTGCCAACATGAGTGAAAGTTCACATTGATGGAATGTGCAGTTCAGTTCTTCGACGTCGTGACGGATTTGCGGAGGGATCTGATGTATAAACTGAAAATGGGCAATGTGGATTGCAAATCAAGCGTTGCTTGATCGTTAGTCCGGACTAACAAAAGCTTCCATGGGCATGGGCGTGACGAAAACTTAAGATTCCCCCTTTTTTTTACCGTACTGGCGCCGCGGGCCTGTTTACCCTGCCAAGCCCTTCAGTAGGTTTGGGTGGACCAGGTCCTGAAGCCTCATAGAGAACTTGGCACCACATCATCAATGAAGAATGCGCGCTTCCCTAAATGAACACTCCTCGAAACTCATGGCATACACCTACGCCATGGATAACTTGGGGTTGGGGGTCGCATCGCTGTTGTGGTTTTAAAGACAAGGTGCTGCTACGCGGGGCCGGCTTCCAAGACACAGCCATGCTTCAGTCTTAGATTGAGGGGTATCGCTTTTGGCGGAGCACCATCGCTTTTGGAGCCTTTGGCGTCAAGAGTATTCATCGCTGCTCACATGTTCTACGCTGAGGCTCCTGTGCCTCAGACGGCAAGCTCATTCACTGCTCATTCGGGAAATAGTTGTCCATCACAAAGCACATGGCCGAGAGGCAGTACGCTGTTGCTTGAAAAATTCTTGCAGATGCTGTTAGACCTTTTGCGGAACGCCGGAAGCATGATGGGCATAACAGCTGCTGCAGTCAGTCAAGAGATGCGAAGTTGTTGATTACAAATGATGGCGCTTCAGCACAGTAGCAGCCCGTAGTTGGCCCGGCTCCTGATGAATCGGGTCCAGCGGAGTTTAGATGAGTCTAGTCTAGCGGGCTGGTGCTTGCATGCGGAGGTCTTCCTGTATGCTTCATGGTGCACTTGATTGA